GCATATAAAAAGCTATGTAAGATGATTTTAAATACTTATAGGTGAAAATTACATATTTAACATATGAATTAATTTCCAACTGTAAATAAATAATGCATAGAGGGCTTTTATCAATATTTTGACCTGCGAGTAATTAATAGTTTTAAATAACAATATATATGATACGACTTCTCTCCTAAACGAAGTAGTTAAGCTAATGTTATTAACTTCCTTTACGAGCGCCTTATTTAAATTATGGAAGTCACTATTATTTACATTTTTTCATAAATTCGCTTGTGCTGGAAATTGAAAAGTAATTTCCTAATAAAGTGTTTTAAAATTTCGAATCAATTTTTGCGGAAAAATAGGGAGGATACTGCTGATTTACTAAGGATTTATTTGATACTTCATGATAAAAGTATTTCTATAACAAGAACGTGAATAATGAACAATGGTTGAACATTGCTTAATGATATCAATATTAGATAAATTTCGAGAAAACATATAAATTTAATATAATAAGATTATTAGTTTTGATATAAACATAGATATGTTTAGAACATTGAAAAGTTATATTTTTTATTCATAAGTATTGAATTTAATACATTTATTTATAATATACTCTTGTATAATACCGTCAATTCATTCTGAAAATGTTCTTAGGAACTGAGAAAATTTAGATTTTGTAAAAATATGCAAAATAATTATTGTCATATCGTTTATTATCTTTAATAGTTATTTCATATTCACTTCTTATTGTTTGATAGCGAATATTTTGTGATGTGAAGCACGTCGTTAAAAAGTATATAAATAATATTGAAATCATCGATTTAACTTTTGTACGAACTAAATCAATAAAATTTTTAATTTAAATCTATATCTATAGTGGCTTTAGTAAAAGGTATATAAATACGAATAATTTTATTCTTATAATAATGATAGACTTATACAATTGGTATATCGTATAAATTATTTATTATTGAGGGCTCATCTTAACATTTAGTTTAGAAATAATATCGCCTAAAAATCAAACCTATAAATATAATTTTTAATTATATATTATTGATCAGACGCATATATTTACATACGAATCCAAATATAAATGCATAAACATACGAGCATATATAATTATTTACAGAATTGCATGCAAAATTTCTGCTTCGATTCCTATAATTTATAATATTTCATTTAGACAGGAATATATATTTTTCCCTATTTTTAATTGTTCCATCGAATAACGAAGATGAAAATTATTTGAACAAAAAATGTTGTCTTTACATAAAAACCTTACTGATCTTTGATAAATTATGTGCTATGTAAAATAGTTTATTTCGAGGTATTTATTTAAACTTTTAATAAAAAATATTATTGCTATGTAAATATACGAGAAAATGTACAAACGTCTCGTAAAATTTATTATGCGGAATGCATTTTCAGATAAAGCAGACAACAATTAAAATATTTTAATTAATGTATTTTAAAAAATTCATGTCTTTCTGGAAGTTACAATGTTTTATTGCATACAAAGGACTATATATTTTTATATGTTAGAATATCCATTTTGTATATTTTTGTATATTTAAAAAAAAACAAAAAACACGTAAAAGCAAGTTGCAACGTTCAAACATTCTTCAATACAATAATTTTTTGCAACGCCTAAAATAACCATTACACGCGTAACAAAACTTTTTAATATTTTTACACCACAAAGGCACTTTAAGCATTATTTAAAATTATTTTCGTAATATTTTGTTTAATTAAATTTCGGCTAAAAGAGCCTGGCAATTATATGCCGGAAATATTCTCACCCACTCTTCATTCATCGACAACGCATATCTCATTCAAATATATTAATTCGAAAAAATGATTACCAAAAGTACACAATCATTATACGGGATTGGTGAAAGCGACGGGGATCCCAACGCTCTTTCTCTTACGATTTGATTCAAGGGCGTCGACGTCAAGCACTGCTCCTGCCCACGACGGTAGGTGGCCCCCACTCTCTGGGCCCATTTCACCCCCGTCGTTTTTTCACTTTTTTTTTTTTATTTCTTTAAGTACAGCCGTAGTGCCACGCTCTCGTCTTTTCCCCTATACGCATATTGCGAACGACGAAGCAATCGTCGCCTGAGTGACGAGGACTCGGATGAGAGGCCATGTGTACAGCAGGCGAAACCGGGAAGTTAAAGTGCACCCTGGCTGACTTAATTGAGTACATATCATATTATATAAAAAAAAAAAAAAAAAGAAAAAAAAAAATTAATGTTGCGGAAAAAGAGAATTTTAGGCAGAAATAAAGATGAATAATCAATTTTATCAATTAACGTAATCTGAGGGATATTCATTGGGGATGAAAGTCATAATATTCTTTAGGCGAATATCGCCGTCAAAACAAGAATCAGAAGAGCCAACTAACAAAAGCTATTCTTGGAAGCGAAATCAATGAGTCCAGTCATGCATAAAAAACTAGCTTGCTTATTCGTTTTCATAACAATAAACTTTCAAAGTTTCTTTTTCGAGCGCTCGACTAGCTGCCTATACGAATTTTTACAATCTTCGCGGAAAACTTCAATTCCAGTAGGTTGTTTATAGTCTAGACCAATTAGATTTGAAAAGCCTATTATAATGCAGCTATTTCTGCACCAATAAATACATCCAAAAATAAATATTTACATTCGGAATCTTATGTTTATCTTAGCCACGTCACTATTATTGACTAACTGATTTAAGTATTTGTCGTGAAAAATAAAATCCAATCGAATCGTTATAGATTTTTCTTGTGAATTTAGAATGAAAAATTGAGAGATTAACTATGGCCGATCAAACTAACATCGTTTTATTAAAAAGGATTTCAAAATTCCGTAGACTAATTAATTAATAATTATTTTCAAGTAACTCTTTAAATGCATTAAATAGGGTCGTGTAATATCTTTCGACATAGAATATTAATTAATTCAAAAATTACTTGATTCAATTATGGAAAAAAAGCAAGAATAAAAAAAAAACACAAATAAAACATGAGAAAAAAGAAGAACAAAAAAAAGGGAAATTTGGATATGTCAGTAGACTTTCTATGATTTGCTACCTAAAGTATAATTTATACAAATTAATTATAAAATTATTCATAAAATTTATCCATGATAAATAAAATACACGACATTCTGACATAATTCAAGCCTATTTCAAGAATATATAAAAGTTATTTTCATTTATATTGTATATTTATCGATATAGAAATACATGAAATATGAAATATATTCGACAATAAAAATGAACAATACGACTTTTAAATATTTAAATCTGAAACGTCTTACTATACATCTAATTATAGACGCAAGTTTATAAAATACTTTTTAATATGATCTGATGTATAATGAAGGCTAATGATGTATATTAATATTTTATTTCCTCTAAAACGGCTTAGATAGATTATTGAGTTGTGAAATGTAATCATACTGGTAATTTTAATTAGTAAACCTACCATGGTACATTCGAAAATTATTCGTAAATATCTATTTATATATTTATTATTGCAAATATTTTCCCACAAAGTGTGTTTTTTTTTACTTCTATCTGCGTTTATAAATACATCAATGCACATATAAAGAGTTATTTTGCTTACGTGGAGGAAGATTTTTTAGACGGATAGTACTCGAAGTTGTTATTTTTAAAAATTTCCCAGATATCCTTGAGGGGGCATTTCCATTTATTAGATTAAAATATTATAGAAATATTAAATATTAATCACTTTCCTCTTACATACGTAGGTTATATCCAACTACTTATATATAATTATAATTATAAATATAAATATATATATATATATATATATATATATATATATATATATATATTATATATTATATTTGTCGTGATATTAAAACGACTTTAAGTATGTCAACGTCTAACATCTAAAATTCTAATGAAAATAATGTTCGAGACAAAGTTACGGCTAAAAGCATGTCATTGTCATTGTACAAGCGATGAAAATTTTGAGAATTACGCTCGAAACAAACGCTTCCTTTTCTTCCGACAATTCTCGCACTTTTTCAATAATTAAAAAACTAAATCTACATACACTCGAGCACTTATATCGAGCAGTGTAAACATTCTCTATTGACCATCTAATTTCATACTTCCGTAATCAGTGATGTCGAATGCAGTTGATTTAACTTCAACTCTCAGGTAAGAAAAGCATTTTTTTTTTTAAATATTTTAATTATAAGTGGCAAGGTGATAGGTGATATGAGCGCAGTGTCGTAAAATTGCAAAATTCATCAGGAGTACGAGGCATTGTTAGGTATTGCGGTAATTGGCCTAGAATGATAGGGCTGTTGCTCGGTTATAATCTTCGGTTCGATCGTCTGTCAGCCTTTCGAATTCTCAGGGGCGACAGGTGCGGAGCGACGTCGTCCTCGTTGGCTGAACCGGTGGCGGTGGCGGCGGCGGTGGCGGCGGCGGCGGCGGCGGCGGCGGCGGCGGTGGCGGCGGCGGTAGCAGCGGCGGTGGTGGCGGCGGCGATGTCGACGGGATGGCGCGGGGTGGCGGGCGGTGGCGACGTCGACGGCGGCTCGAGGGTTTGCGCGCACGCCCGGCTCTCTCTCCCTCTCTCTAGCGCCCCGATGGGCAATCGCTCTCTCGCTTCCTCGGCACGTCGAGTGACCATCAGCCCGCGGCACCGCTGGCAGTTTCAGTTTAGCCGAGTCCGCGAAACGCGCGCGTCGCCTCCTCTCCCTCAGCCCGTCAATCGTCGCGCTGGTGAGACCTCCGCTCGCACCGGCTACAGCCCTCGTCGAGCCCTCGCATCCGTATCGCGGCAACATTCCCGCGGCGCGGAGGGGGGAGGGTGGTCGCGGTGGCCGGCGCACATGTGCTCCCCGTGAGGGCCCCGCGGTGGAGTAAGGGGGCGGCCAAGGCTCGCCCGGTATAGTCGCTTAATTGCACGACCGGGGGAGAGGCGCGGCCGGAATGCACCGGCTCCCGTCGAGGACGACATAATCGTAGAGGGTGGGACGCGAATCGCGTGCTAAATCCCGTGTAAATGCAGCCGCCTCGTCGCGAGTGCATCAGCAGCTGAAGGAGGCTCGCGCATGTGCTTGGTTTTATTCGTTGGTAGGAAGCCTCGGCGCTGGCTTACCCCTTTCTTTAATCGGCTCGTCGGCTTGTTTGTTGCCATTGTTATTAGCGATTGTGCGAGGCTATCGGTTGGCCGATATGACACTGGAGCATAGCGAGGCGGGTGCCTCGACCGCGCGATTTAACAGCCGGAGGCTTCGAGCTTTCGAGCCTTTTTGGCTTCTCGCTCTTGTATTGCTACTCTGCGCAATTTGCAACGTGCCCGGCGTCAAAGGTGAGCTCAATCTATATGTATGAGACGCCCTTACTTTATCAAGACTCGCGACCCATTTTAAGCTTTGCCTTTGCCTGTTTTGAAAGCAATGCGAGCACGTCTCCAGTGTCTTGTGATCCAAAGTCGTAGCGATACTTTTTAGGTTGACAGTATCGTTGTGCGAGAAATATTATATTAGCCGACACTTCTTTTCAATTTAGCAGGAGATGCAGGAGCTGCATTAATGCTGCCGAGTTGAACTTTTATCGATAACATTAGCTTTAATGCATTGATGAGTTTCTTTGGTAATTTCTTCGGCTGCTCGTTATGCTTGCGGATTTCTAACTATTGGCATTGATCCTTCAACAAACTTAAAAACAAACTGTAAACTATAGATAACAATCTGTATTATTATCCGTCATTAAGCATTAAATTAGTTTTTCTAAAGAATAAATTACGAATTTAATCCCTAATGCATATTTATATTAATTGAAAAATTCTGTACTATATATATATATATATATATATATATGTATTGAGTTTCGGGTAAAAATTATTCTGGAAACAGCTACTTAGCGCAAATACATTATATATATATATATATTTGAATAATCAACTTTTACTAATACAGCATCAATAAATACGATTCCTATAAAACTTTGCAACGGTAGTCTTATATATTAAATTGTTAAATATATAATTGTCAAAGATTTTGAATTACGTATTTATCAATATTACCTTACAATTTAAAAATCGTTTTTATCTACTATACAATTATTATTCATGACTCTTCAATTTATCCTTTTCACTTTATTATATTATTTGACATTTTATAAAAATAATCGTTCGATTCGATAAGAGCTTGGACGCATTAATAAAACGCTTAAACATTTTGGGAACATGAGATATAAATGTAAAATAGTTGTCTTGTACACTTATTTTATGTACACATAAATTAATTTAAAGTAAAATGCATAATTTTTAAATTACACAACTGCAGTTATGTCGTTCTTTTTTTTGCGCAAAATTGTTTAAGATTCTTTTCTTTTTTTAAATACGATGCTAATACAAATAGTTTAGTAGATTTATAGTATTAAATAATGTATTTAGTGGGTGCAATCGCTATGTAATGACATTCGTTGTTACAATGTTGTCACACATCTTGATTTATTTACTCGATTACATTTATTCGATAAAATAATCGTTAAAATGTAATCTTTACTGCATCAAAAAAAAAAAAAAAAAAAAAAAAAAAAAAAAAAAAAGTATTGGCAACGTCAAAAATATGTTTTGATAAAAATTATAATATTTTGAATTATAATATCCTAATATTCTGAAAAATAAATTACAATTCTGTGATTTCCAATAGAAAATTGCCTTACCTACTATAAGATAATTAAACAAATAATTTTCCCAAATGATTGAATTAATTTTACCATATAAACACTTCTTACTAATTTTTACCAAGAATATCTAATTTCATTGTGCGTACAATTAATATTTAGTATTTGCTTGCAACTGCAATCTCCTTAACCAAACAATGAGGATGAATTTCGAGTGATTAATTACTTATGTAGCTATGTTAAAAGTAAATAAATTAAAGCATATTTGTAAATTAGTGTATCAATAACGTCGGTAAAAGTTAAGTAGTTTATCTGAAATTAGCATATGAGTAAGAAATCCCTGTTACAAATGAGAAAACTACGCGATGAAACTGAAACATACGTAATCTGCATGCTAATACCACGCAAAGTAATATCAAACATCAACAAGTTCATGAGACCTTTGAGAAAGGAAAAGAAATTTTTTCAGCTATACAAGATTTTCGTCTAATATTTGAAACATAAATATTTAATAATAACAATAATATTAATATATGAGAAATGGACTATTGTAAGTTATTTATATAAATATTTTTATCATAATTAACGTTAAGACTTGAATTTTCGGTTACACATATATTATCGATTGATGAATGAATGAAATTAATAAAGTCAAAATTATAACAATTATTATTTTATTTATTTAAATAGTTCATATAATCTGTATATATGAGGTTATATCATTCATACTATTCAACAATTTGAGCTGTTAATTTGAATGATTTTTAAGATCTAATCTTCTGAATGTTCAATTTGCGTTGAAATTTCATTAAAACGCGGAATGAAAATTTGCTGTAAATGAATCGATATTCCACTGTAACATACAAATGTATAAAAATTTTACAAAGTAAAAAAGCAAAAAACACAATTAATATATATATATATATATATATATATATATATTTATTTATTTATTCACTTTAATCACACAAGTAATTCACACAAATATAATAGCCGAATTGAGAAATTTACGTTTTTATCGATTATTTCAATTAAATGCTACTTTAACAAAATAATATTGAAATATTCTTATTATCATTATTGTGGTGTGTTATGAAAGTCCATTAATGCTTAAACAGCTCTTTATTTGTCGAAGACTAGGAAATAAAGTAAAACTATTTTTAACAGCAATCGCAATAAGCATCGATCGATAGTTAGACTATTTAAGCTCTGGCTTGTTTCGCCATATATAAACTTCACTTTCCCATGGTATAAATACCTGCAGATTGACAGAGAGCTTATGTGCACGTGAGTTAAATTTTATGGTTCGTATGCTTCGCCTGAACTTTCGCCCCGAGATGAATCGCAGGTAGGAAAAGTTATTTTACTGGTATTACGAGGAGTTTTGTTTTGGATGAATCGCGATGAAGAAGCAATCTCGTAGTGGTAAAATTTGACGAGCAGTTGCTGTTCTCTCACTTAAATTCGTAAAACTACGTCATCTAATTCTATCTCTGTCTTGATCAAATTTTTCGTGCTGCTTGAAACAATAATGTAAAATTGTTGTGCAATTTATTTATCTCTTCGTTTCGCAGGATATTTCAAATCTGTCGCTATTTAATCATTATAGGAATAAAATATATTTATAAAGAAATGTGTACAAATTACTTTTTCATAATTTCTTTGTCATCATTTATACAACCTGTAATAATTGTTAAAATTTTTTTATAAGTCTATATTACTAATTATATGCAGACGATTAGCATTTGTAGAGTCTCAATTATTCCAGTTATATTTTTAACCGAATATTCACTGAAAATTAAATATTAATTTAAAAATAAATATTACGTTAAACATTAAATATTCGATTACATGAAATAAGTGAATTCAATACCTTCGTTAGTCGAATAATCTTATATCTGAAAATTTTTAGTTTTAATTGCCATGCTTCAATCATATTGTTCTATTAAGTTTTATTCGACTTTGATGAATCTTTAAATTGAAGCTAACATAGCGCCACTTTAAAAACCAAACCAAAATATTAATTTTTGCTATACATTCAACGTTGCATATTATAATGTTCATTTTTATGTCACTTCAAAATAACATTAAAATACTTAATATATAGTAATTTTCAATATTATCAAATACTTTTAAATGGATTATTTACTAAAACGAATTTTTTTACTTTATGCATAATGCTTAACATATATATATATATATATATATATTTTTTTTTTTTAATGTATTTGTATTACTTCTAAAAGATATATGATGCTTGAGAAAGTTCTTAAAATATTCATAATGCAATTTTGGTAGCAATTAAATTTCTTACGAGAAACTTTGCGAGTTAATTGACGAGGATAAGTAGAGTTTTAGAAATCATATAGGTATTTCATAAGTATTGTTTTTTCATAAATTCTCAATTTTAATATTACAAAATTAAAATTATTGATTCGTATTAATTTATATTTATACTTAGTCAATTCAAACATTTTTTTTTTATGTATATATATTATCTAAACAAATATGTTTTTCACATTTATCGTTGATTTTAAAAGAATCAAAATTTTTTCTAAATACGAACTTGACACGTTTTCAGCATGCACGAGAAAACAATTCATTTTTCTTCATATAATAATTCTAATTTCCAATTAATAATGATATAGCGCAAACGTATATACGATACATACTTATATCCTATATTTTTCGAGCATAAATAAAGCTGATGATAGTCATTCAATAAACTTAAAATTAATATTAACAATTTTTTAATTTAATTTAATATTAAGATTAAGAAATGTTAATTTATGAATAAACATTTATTTTATAAAGCACTAATTGAATTCATTGTAGGGTAACCATTGATTAAACATTTTTTATAAATAATTAAATTATTTACTATATATGACCATTCAAACAGTAATTATTTATTAATAACTTTTTAGTTCAGATTTCTTACTATCTCAAAAATCTTACGCGACCAAGAAATATTGAAATTTTATATATTTCTTTTATACCCTATTTTATAAAATATCAAATTCAATCTTATATTGATATTGTATGTATAAATGGATTTATAGGGATATTTATAATCCAATTAAACACATTTGTATATTTATATATAATCATTGTCCAGGGACTAGATCCCGCGATTGAGCCACATTGGACTTTTATTCTTTCGATTACATGCCGTAAAGCGGGAAACATGAGACAGACTTTGCAGAAACATTTAAAGAATTCTACACAATATTTGAATACATCATGCAGTTATTATTGGAATATATTTGTATAATTACATAACTGATTATAATTTAAGTAATATATGATTTTTTTTTTTTTAAATACATGATAATTATAATAATTATAAAATCTTAAATAATACAATATTTACATAAATAATATGTGTATATTTAATGATATATATATATATATATATATATATTTAACAATGTTTAAAAATAATATTTGAATTCTTAAACTATTATATTTAATTGAACGTCGGCACATTTATTTATTGCTTATATATTCTAAAATTTTATTTTCGTATCTGACATAATTTTCATGATATTTTAGAATCAAATGTTCAAATGTTTCAAACAGGATCTTAATTTTTTGAAAAATATTATCAGAATTATAGAGTTTTAATACGTTCGTTAAGAAAATAAAATAGTAAGAGTGAATTTTATTAGTTGTTTT